CCATCTTCCACGGTCTCCTCTATTGTTATTGTTGTATTGTTGTAATTATAATTATGTCCTGTCTTGTGAAATTTTCTTATTTATTGTTGTAGTCTTCTTATTTACTGTTATTGTCATCCTGTAAAGCGCTTTGAGAAGCCACCTTTAAAGGCGCTATATAAAATAAAGTTTATTATTATTATTATTAATGGTTTGACATCTGATATTTGCACTTCTACTGGTTCACCACAAGGTTGTGTACTTTCTCCCCTCCTTTTCTTCTTATATACTGATGACTGTCCAAGCAATTGTGAAAATCATTACATTATCAAGTTTGCTAGTGTTCTAGTCTCTCTCCTCTCAGAGCCTGGACAAACACATTGTGGACAAATCTGTCGACTGCTGTGATACGTCTTACCTAGAGATGAATATGTCAAACAAAAAGAAAAAAGGTTGTAATCCTCAGGTCTAAAATCGTTGGCGAGTCTTTGACTCCCCTGGCACAGCTGTATGCCCAGCATATCCCGAGGAAGGCCTGAGCCACCACTGAAGACCCATCTCACATCCTTCATCAGTCTTTTGAACTTTTGCCTTCAGGAGGACATTTTTGCTGTCCACAGTGCAAGACAGATAAAAACAACTTAACTTCGGTCCAGAAGCCATCTGGCTTGCAAACGATTATTGTAAAGAAGTTTTATCAACCTGATGTCTATTGGTACCCACATCCCCACTAATGTGCATGTACTAATACCTTCCTAAGTACTATACACTGTCTTTCATTCACTTCTACGGTCTGTTTGCTGCAATGTTTTTTTTTGTCTCGTGTTGTATGTTGCACCACTTGCTGCTTAAATTGCCCCCTGGGGATGAATAAAGTATTTTGAATTGACTTGAATAAACAGGGAGAATAGGTATTCTATTCCAGAATTAACAACTGAATTGTACTTCAATTTGGACTGCTCTGCACTCGTGAATACAGTATATTGCGTGGTACATCTTTTCGGATGTAAGTTGGGATCATCACATCCATATTACATATATTTGTGGGAGGAGAGGCAGTATATAAGATAAGATAAACACTCCTACATCAACACATTCGTTGTGTGTACATTATTATTTTATACTGTTTCTCAAGTGGTTATCCTCATAATTTAAAACTTTATCAGCACCTCAACTTCACCTCACATTTTTTTTAACATTCAGGATTGTTAGTGCAAATCCATGCATGTAAACATCCACAAAGGACTTTTGTTATTAAACACCTACCCAATTTAGCTATGAGAAAGTACGGTAGTTTCAATCTGCCATCCTTCAGCTGAAAGCTTACAGGAAATGTCAGCAGTTTTTTGTTCAGTACCAAGACATCCTTTCTCATTAAAAACATGCAATCCAAACAATAGTTATAACATTGATTTTTTTTGCAAGGCAGCAATCCAGCTTTTTTATATGAAACAAATATTTTGCACCATAAATAACATATGGTAATTTCAATATACCATAGGAAGTTTAACTTGTACCTAACATCATTAATAACTTCTTTCTTGTCTGAAACACAGTAGACTATATGTCCAACTTTGGACCATTTCCCCTCAGAAATCAGAAAATGCCAGATTCATATAGTATAACTTGTGGGGATGAGGACAAATGCATCACCTGTCTCTTTGGCAGTGGAAAGTGTCAGATAAGTGGTGTTTTACCTTAAAACTGTCCTTTTACATTCTACGCCTACAGTGGAAGCTCCAAAAGAAAAGAAATGTTATCAGTTTATTGATTGCATACTCTCTTATGCTCCAGAAGCCCTCATAGCAACCAAGCAGACCAAGGCAGATTAGCAAGCAGTGATGAAACATGATCTGAATGTATTAATATTCTTGGAGAATAAAAATGACAATTTCAAGCCCTTTTCAGCTGTTGTTGGTCATCACTCAGCTAAGTTAAAAATGAATCAAATTATGGTGGTTTTCGTTGTTTCTGTTTTTTTTCATGCACTGAAAGATTTCAGAAAAAGCTGAATGTGGAGGAGCTCTGATTACTTAGAACATACAATATAATTATATAATATTGGAAAATGTTGAGAAGGATGGCTAAGGATGATGAAAAAAGCCTTCTAATCCCACAAAAAGAAGACCCTAAGATAGGACTGAGGACACCACTGCTCTTTAGTCTATTAATAGCAAACATGTAATCGTATTCTCCATGTAGTGATTTTTTGAAGCACTGAAACTATGGCAGATGGGATTAGATTGTCCACAAATGACTGGAAACTGCAGAAGCATAGTTGCAGAACACAAACATATAAAATAACACAAAACCAACAAAATGTTTAAGCAAAAGTCTAAAATTCACTGAAGAGCTTTAATAAAAAACAACTCAGCACTGCCGGCAGTTGAGTTCAAACCCAATTGCTTTCTCCTGCTTTATCTCTTTTCCCTTAGAGCCAAGTTTCTTACCAGCCTTTAAAAAACTGAAGGCTGTTACTTGAATACTTTTTGTTGATTGCCTAGCCAACAAGAGGGAGGCACAAGCCTACATTTTAATGCCGATCAGCCAATTAGGCACTGCACAGAAACCAATACTCCAGCCACAAAAGTAAACTCATGAAAGCACTCAACGTCCACCATGACCAAAAAATGCTGCAGTGAAAAAAATGTACAGCACTCTAAAGACCTTTATTTTTTTTATTTGCTGGAGTATTAGCAGTGCAACATGTTTGAATTTAATAGGTTTGCATCCACCTTATTGTCATTGTGTGAAATACATACTGTAGGGCCTAATCCATAATTCACCAAAGAGTCAGAGTAACAGTTTAACCAGGTTACAAAAGAAACATCATCTGAAATATATCCTTATGAAAAGATGCACGTTGAAAAAAGTTTTTTTTCTGTATTTTACAAAGATCATAAAAATTGTCTAACTGGTTTGTAATTTCCCAGTCTCAAATGATAAACAAAATATTCAGTACTGTTATCCATAACCTCTCCAATTTGTACTCCCAATAATTTGCTAAATTATTTATGGATTCAGACTGTATTGCTTTTCTATCGAAATAGCTTTAAAATTGTATCTTTAAATATGTCTCTTGATATGCTAAACAATTCGGAAGGTTTTAAAAGAAAAAAAAAAGATGCATACACTGCAGAACAATGCATGACCCAAAGTGCCAAAAGCTGTTTTCTGCTGCATCACTTTCAAAAGGTCAATAAAAACCACTTATGAATGATTAACTTGCAAATGAATGAATGACATTTAAGATTGAACTTCATTTTTTTTAATAAAAGAAAAATAAAAAAACAGCAATCTAACATACATTTTATGCTAGAAGGGAAAAACAAAGAGGACTTAAATCATCACATACAGTATAGTACAATAGAACGAGAAAACTAGTTTTTACTCCACTAGGAATTTAAAATTTATTATACACCTTTGGGAATTGTGTAGTATGAGAGAGTTTACATTTATATTATTAAGGTAATCACTATGTCAGACTATCACTATGTCAGAGACCATTATGCATTTGTTTTATGACACCTCAAAAAAAGTGCACACCAAAAATAAATTCTTAATTCTGTTCACATTCTCCGTGTTCATATGGGTTTTTATTACATGCACAGTGTTCTTCCATGTCCAGAACACATGCAGACTAAGTCTGACTCACTAGGCTAAATTGTTCCTTTTGCCTTAGTGTTTCAATGAACTGAAGGCCCATCTCAGGAGATCATGTTCCTTCATTCCCACCCTGCATCTTCTTTTTCTGGGACACCCTTGCTGTGACCCTTACCAGGATAAGCAGCTATCTGATAAAGGATGGGAATCTATATACAATAGCTCCAAGTTCTGGTCTTATAGCACAGGGCCGTTTTTCCTCTAATGGATGAAATAGAGCACAAACAGATCTTTCATTATGTGCCAGCTTTCTTTTGAACACTGTTTCGGACAAGACATTAATCTTTACTTTGGTCTACAAGAGAGACGACAAAGGGACTGTGATATGTTGTCACTTAGGACCTATTACAGTCTAAACTTAAATGCTTAAACGTAACGATTATTCCAAAATACACTAAGAAAAGACTATTTTTTAAAAACAAATGTTAATTTTCTACCGATTGGTAATATCTGTAACAATCAAAATGAAAAGCTGAATCTTATATTTGTATTCAGAAAACATTCCCTTCATATTAAATGCTTTAACATTGGTATGACTCCTCTGTAAGAATACAGTGTAAGGCACTCAGTAAGAACTGTAATAAAAATGTGTTTTTATTAATAACAAAGAATTGGTATTTTTTTTTACAGTCACTAAAATTGATATATATTTTTAAAAAAGGTTAAAAAATATAAAGCCATTTCTTGCATAATGCTTTTTAAAATACAATACAATAAAAATCTTAAACAATCAGGGATCTTCACATTGTTGCTGTCTACTGTTGTAATCATTGAACTGATTCTTCCAATCCAGCATATATGAATACCATCGATGAAATTCTGTCCTCCACTGTTGTTCTGCTTCTTCAATGTCCACTGGGAAAAAAAAGAAAACCAAACATCAGTCTTAAGCAAAATATCTATCTTGTCAGTTCCTATGCTAGCAGTTTTGTTATTTCTGTCCAATGTCAGCACGCTTGATTTATTCATGTGTAACCCCAAACAGTGTAAAATGCTAGCATGATGGAATTAGACAAACTAGGAGGAAGACAGAGATATAAAGACGTCATGTGCTTGAAAAAGATTGGGCAACTGTTACCAAAGACAAGTGCTTGCTAGAGCACTTCACACATGAAGTACCCCCTCTAGTGCAAACTGTCCATTAACTCTCCCAATTGTTGGGACGGTTTTACTGCCTCCAAGTCTCTATCGCAACATTCCTACTCGTGCAATGGAAATTGCAGCATACACGGTCACCACCTGACATATTCTGGGTGTTTGTTACTGTATATAAGAAGCAAGTACAGATGCTCAAGAACTGAAGTCTGCAACTTCATATTTTTAGCTCACTACCCTTGCCTTCATGGCAAGTTAACTCAGGACTTGCTTTTGTCTGAAACTGTTGCTACCTCAGATGGCAGTAAATATAAGTGAACTCATGGTGGGCTATCACAAAGAGAAAGAGAGGACAGAGTAGCTCAGAGGTACATTTAATACTTTGAGACCTGAAGCTTAGTGTGGAATAGTGTGTGTACTGGCGGGTTATTCTATCAAGAAAAAGGAAGGAAACATATTTACAGTGGTCCAGCCTCAGAAGCAAATACAAACTGAAGTAAAAATTTCACATAACTAATGAGAAGTACAGTGAATATTTTAGAAGATATTGCAGGATAGCGTATTTCAAGAAAAATTAAGAACAAACAGACCTCACAGGTCAAACGAGATACTCGTTTTTTAAATTATTTTACTTTTGTAAAACAACAGTGACTTGTACCTTACCAAACTAAAGATGTACATCCACTTTAAACATAGCATTTAAAGAATGACTTCTTATGTGCAATGTCCACTAGTACTAAGCCACCGTTAATTCTGAGGAATGCCAAGACCAAAGCTCTAAGACTAAACAGAGGAAGTGGTGTGGAAACTGGTCTTCAATATCCGGTGCTAAGTGATCCTTAATTGCAAGCAGGTAGTATCGATTTTCACCCACAGCTTGTAATTATGGTGGTAGATGAAGTTGCATGGGTTGCCAAGGAAACCATGTACTGGCATGAGGGAGTGTTACAGAACTCTTGAATGATTCATTGAAAAATTATTTGTAGGATGTGTATCAAATATATAAAAGGTTCAAAAAAGGTTATACTGCTACACTATACCTTTACAAAAGAGGTATTACAAAAAAATTAAAAATAAGAGACTGGTAGATCTCTAAGTAAACTTTTTTCCCTTTACAAATGTTTTTATTCTACTTAAACATCGGGGTAAAGTTATAAATAAGTCTCAGAAAGTGCAGAACTGTACTGGCATGAAAAGAAACATCCCTTATATACTGCAATGGAGACCACCATTTGAAATGATGCAAGGTTTGCTCCAGGTTACAAAACAGGTAACTCTGGAGAGCACATGTCATCACAGCTCATCCCAGAAAAGTTCAACAGGGCTTAAGTCTGGCAAGCATTATATGGACAGTATAATTATCATATTCTCAGCATGTAAGAATACTACCGTAATGAGCAATATGAGGATGTAATACCACAGTCTTGTTGCCATCAATTACTTCAAGATATAGTTCTGTAATGAAGGATACTCCAGACCAAAGCATCAAATTTGGACCATTGATCTTGGTGAGATGAAGATTGTGGTAACTACATATTATTTTATGCCATAATGTCTTCACGGGTTAGACATTTCTGGTATCCTCCTACATACTGATGGTACAAAGGCATTGTTCTCTTGATAAGGGATTGTATTAATCACTTTCAGGGTTTTCTTGTCTTGATTTTCAACAAGCTTTACATTCAACGGGTCATGATCATCTTATCACCTGTGCCCAATCAACGCTCATACTAATGTGGTGATTTAGTGCTTATGCAATAGTCAAAGTCACATGAATTACAGCCATGAGTGATCAATACAATGCCAAAATCAATATTTGAAATACGCATGCACAGCTGATACATCCTTTGATCCTCAGTACATATTTACAATTTTAAATGCATCCTCTAGCTTTATTTGTACTCCAAAACCACTTTAAACAGTAAGTCGTATTATTCTGATTGCAATCATGGACTCCCACCAACTTGTATGTTTTACAATTTTGACTTTTTAAAGGTAAAAGCCTGAATGAAAAATAAAAAAAAACAATTTGTTATTTTGTTATATTTATTCTTTACCTGTCACTGCAAGGAGTTTTGGGAGGAAACTGTTCCAGAACTTGCAAAGCTGGACACGTAGCATCCCATGGATTTGTGGGGACTTTGTGTTCAATGTAATGTACTCTTGGCTTTTTGAGGAAAATGCTGGCCATTGTGAGCTTTGCCCATTGGGATCCCTGTCAAACACAACATCATGCAACAAACAAAAACATGCTTTATCTTTGTTGACAATAAAAAGGTAATGCAAATGAACAGCAGGCATATCAGTTTTTTACCAAATAGATTTATACGCAATATAAACAATATGATAGCATTTTTTTCTCTTACATTCTGTTAAATTTTCTTTGTTACCTATAGGAACAAAAACTTAGAAAGAAAACAGATATTAAACCTCTGTCAATGGAGCTAAATTTCCTCACAGATTCTTGAATGTGAAAATCCTAACTGCTCCAATACACTGTGAAGCCTAGTAATCCGTTTAGTGTAGAGACACTTATAAAAAAACTTGTATTCAAGTGCAAATGTACTTACCCTGTTTTTGCAAAATTCGCCCAATAGTTCATGACTCTTCTGCTCAAAGCTTCTTCTGCACCGGTGTATCCCAAACTTCTGTTTAAGGGCAGTCCGAATACAAATTCTATTTCATAGCCATGAATCACCCCCATCCAGTCTGGCCAGGCAACTCTTGTAGAACGGTGATCAAAAAAGTACAAAAAAGCTTTGTTTCCAAATTCGACATACTTCTGCGTGAACGCCAGCAGTGGGCATACAAAATTATAATCCCCAACAATGCCACTCAAAGCATCCCGATTATTTTCCGGATTGAACTCATCCGTCCAATTAGTATACTGGAAAATGGCAGCCTCTCGGCCAATTTCACTGAAGTGTGGGAGAACAAATTTCACACCCGACAGGAACTGCTCTCTTGTGATTAGGCTTTCATTATCTTTGCTAAATCCTGGAACCCCATAAACTAAAAAATAAGTCCCTTCATCTTTATTTACTCCGAGCAGAATGTCAGTTTTTTTAAACTGTCCAGAAAAGATCAAAACATCAGGTGAATCGGTGAGAAAATCACCGTCAATTGTCGGGGCAAACGAGGTACTTACTAGTGGCGACTCCTTCATTACAGTAAACTGCTTGTCCACAATTTCTTGCGGATCTTTCTTGCGGAGGCAAGCAATCACATCGGCATCATCCTTAACTGGGCATCCAAGGAGTTCAGCCAAAGTCAAAGACCTGTTTTGTGAGATGCTGGCTGGTAATGCTGCCCATGGAGAGTTGATAGAGCCGCTCTCCATGACTGCCCTCGAAAAGAAGGGATGGCTTCCTGGGGAAAGGATGTGGAAGTTCACAGAAGCTCCGCCAGCGCTCTCGCCAAAAATCGTGACACTTTTGGGATCCCCTCCAAAAGCCGCAATATTGCCTGTGACCCACATGAGGGCCAGCCTCTGGTCAAACAGCCCTGCATTCCCAGTCACTTCATCATTCCCTGGTAAAGACAAGAAACCCAGAGCCCCGACTCGGTAGTTCATTGACACTACGATTACGTTCTCCGTGTAGGTCAAGTACTTCCCGTCATAAACATCTAGTGAAGACGTTCCTGTGGAAAACCCCCCACCGTATATCCATACCATCACTGCTGCATCACGTGGCTTAGGTGAGGGCACCCACACGTTTAAATAAAGACAGTCTTCACTAAGCATGGTATTGGGGTTCCACATTTCAGCTCCAGGAAACCCTGGAAAAGCCTTATCAATATATTGGTAGCAAGTGTTCGGGTATTTTGTCGCATCCAAGATACCAGTCCATGGCTTGGAAGGTACAGGCTTCTTGAACCTGAGATTATCTACTGGGGGTTGTCCATAAGGAATTCCCAAGAAAGCAGTAACGGATCCTGAGAGCACGGACACTTGTGTTCCTCTGACCTTCCCCTTTTTAGTTAAAATCACAAGCTCATCTTGACCATGTGAACTGGAGAACAGATCAACAGCCACAAGAAACACACTGCAGTAGAGGAAAGATACTGTCATGTTCTCTTCAACACAAGCCTATTGAGAGGAAAAATAAATACAGTGAGATCCTTTTTAAGACAGGAATTACACATATGGTTAATTATTTGTACAACAGAAATAGATGTTATATACTATATATCATGAAACACATTTGGTAAATGGAACAACAATGACAGAAATGATGCCCACTTCATCTCTTTCTGCCGATCATAAACAAACAAAAAAAACTGCCAATGTTAAACCTATAGGGAAATAAAAATGTTCTGTACTGAAAGAAATAATTACACATAATATACAGTGAATTGAAAGAAGAATAGAAAAGATGCAACAAATACATAGCTTTTGACAGGTTTCACATTCATTTTCAGACTTCATACCACACTGAGAGATTACTTAGTCTTAAAAACTGTAATTCTAAAAATTAGAAATTCAGAGCCCTTGTCTGGATAGTGGCTATCCAGCACACATAGAAAAACTATTCAAACAAGATAAGAAGGTTTATTACATTTATAAAAGGTACCCACACAGAGCTGGGTTGCTGTATATACTGTATAGTTAGGATCCCTAAGGTTTACTTTGTGTGTGTGTAAAAAGATCAATAAGTCAATTTGTCAGCTTTCAGGAGCTGTTTTGGCCCTAAGTCCTTAGTCAAATGTTAGTACTCATTCAATACAAATTTTCTAAATCCATTCAGTAGCAGGGGTACTGTAAGTTTTTTAATAAAATCACTAAGACTGATTTTACCCTCCCAGCTTTGCTCAGCTCAGACTGGGCTTCAAAAAAACAAACACAGACTGCTGCTGTTGCAACAAACAAAAAAAGGCCACATAGAATAAACTCAAAATCCAAGGCACAGTACTTTGTTGTTTATTGTGATTCCAAAAATCATAAACCAAGCTATACACGAACTCTCTCCATGTTTCTGGCACCAAAGAACACTGAGACCAAAGGACTTCTGAGAATAAATATTGAAAACATTTTCTGACACCAAAGATTTGATGGGAGCTTGATGTTACATTTTCAACACCCACTAAAGTCAATCTGAAAAAGAAGTTGTGCACTAAAAAGTGTTAGCAGATGTAGCTTAGTGAGCAGCAATTGCTATAACATTCGCCTTAGATAACACAAGAGCTGCATACAGTATGTGAAAGCAGCCTTGCTTGATTAACAGGCTCTGGAAAATTGAAATGACCTCTGAGCTCCTATAATGAGTATGTTTTCTCAGGCAAAGCTGAAACTCTCTGGCAGGTCAATAACGGAATTTCCCGTTCTGATAAATCGAAAAATTGTTCACTTCTCCTATGTTAATGGGTAGGAAACCAAATATATTAAGAATGCCGACATTACGCGAATTGGTTTAAAAACAAACATCATACTGTAAGCATAACACATCAGACAGACAGACATTGCAACCTTCTATTGCCTTTGTTACTTTAAAGGCAATGACTCAACAAAATCATGTCAACATATTTCAAGAAAGTAATGATCCATTGACGACAGCAGGGAAGGCCTTAAAAAAAGACTGACAAAATGAATGTCCCAAAGCTAATATGCAATGCTTTTTGATGTGTTTTTTTTTCTGGAGAAGGTTTTACTGTCAATGGGGGTCCACAGTACATATTGACAAGTAGACCTGCTGTAAAATCTTTAAATAAAACAATGAGGTCTTGTCCTGAGATCACACCTTAACAAATGTTGTTTGACGGGCACCTAAAATGGATGGTGCCGTATTTAACAGATATTAATCAAGTATAACTTCTGTTTTGGAGTCTGTACAAAACCCTCAAAAAAAGACAAATATGAGACATGTCTAATTTCTTAACCACTACTAATATCCTTATCTTGGTAGTTAATGATCTGCTCAGGCAGAGATTAGAAATTGTGGCAAAACAACTCCAAGCATTTTATCATCCAAACTGTAATGTCGTGCGCGCTACTGAGATGGGACTATTAGTGTAGTCCGGGAGAGGACCCAGGTGCTGGGTGACCGGCAGCTGGGTCAGGGAACCTGCAAGCGGCACAGAGGGAAATGTAAAGAGCTAAGCATGAGGAACCAGACTGAGCGGGGAATGTGCACTCTGGAAATGAGCTGCAGGCTGATTGCTGACTGATGAGCTGAGTAGCCAGACAAGCAAGCAAGCTGACATGCTGCCGTGGCTAGCTAGAGACACAGACAAACTCCAGTTTGCAATGGAGAGTGAATCCAAGACTCTCTGTCAAGTTTCAAACCCAAGCCCGAAGCAGGGCAGAGACTGGGTGGTAACAAGCTGTGGGGAACCCAAGAGACAGGTTGAAGAAACAAGCAAGGGTTAGAGCCAAGGAACACATTATAGGCAAACAAAGCCGAGGGGTGATCCGGGCAAGGAAGTACCAAGCAAGTAGATGTCAGTGCATCTAACGAAGCACAGGGGAACAAAGCATTAGGTGGAAAGCAAGCGAAACACAGGAACGGAGAAGGGGAGCTCAGTGAAGAAACTCAGGAACTGGCCATGAAGGGCTCAGAGCCGAAACTCAATGACAGAGCACCATGCTGTGTCAGGTCTGGAATGGGCATGGTCGTAAACTGACTCCAGGCACTCCAAGTCTCCAAGTGATTGTTTCCGCAGCAACTGGCACAGGGAGACGGATGGATGGTGAAAAAAATGGCTGCTGTGTCACTGTTAACTCACCCCGCTGCTTGGCTGCCAGAGCAGACACAAAACCAAACGTCTCTGAAACACTTCCTTTTTGTTGCATGTTTGTTTCCAATATGCATCTAATTTGGATCTGCGGCTTTTTCCAAACTTACCACAGAGCAGGGAAAACTAAAACCTAAACTGCATTATATATTATTATTCTGAATTTAAATTGAATTATGTATATTAATATTCAAAGTCTATTCTTATTACAGTCAGACAAGAAAAAACAATGAATCACTAGGAAATACTGAAAGAACAAGCAATTGCCTTTTTCTTTTTTATATCCTATTTTAGATGGAATGTATATTTTAAAATTACTACAGAATTTCATAATTAACAATAGCTCTTGAAAAAAATGAAAGCCTGGAAAAACGAGTTTACAAATAACAATCCTTATAAAATGCTGTAGTGTTGTTCAGGTTTTGTAATGTAGGCCAAGAACACTACATCATAAGAAAAGCTTTGAGTGTCATTCGGTCTTAAGAACAACAATCATTGCCCACTCTATAAATTGCGCAGTGCTCTTCAATCTTTATGTAAACCTGAGATTTAACATCTCCATATAAACTTATAATTTCAGAAGAAGCTCATACTGAGGACATACAGACATACTTTAAGCAGAAATGCATTTATTTTTTTTAAATTTGGCATTCAGGGAACATTTCTTGTTTTCATTTTTTGCAATAACCGAGATGGAAACAATTTTTTCTTCATCAACACTGTATTCTTTCTGGACGATGACAGTCACACAGCAGGAATATCTATGATATATCTATGATATCACAACAGGACTTGAAAGAACTTCAACTCCATCTAAAAATACTCTGGCTTCTACCAAAAAGCTGCTGGCAAGGTTGACTGTTCTGTTTAAAATACACCAGCGATAAATATACATAACTGACTTCACACATCACTTTACTGATTTACATTTTGTTTTTCCAGTACTTATTCTTAATTTTAAAAATAACACTGAAAAACATAAATTACATTGGGAATAGATGAGAACCCTTGAATATAAATTTAAAAGATCAAAAGCAGAATTTCCTTTTTTATAACAGACCACAGCCTAAGTTACAGTATGTACTGTACAGTATAACAGTACACACATTTGTATTTGTTTGCTGGGATTCCCTGTTCTATTTTTATATTCTATTCCCTACTAAAAAGAAACTCCACTCAAAGACCATAAATATTATTGCCGTAACAAACATAAATAAATACAGTAGTTCAGGTGGGTAGTTGCGTCAGCATGCGTAGACTGCAAAGGAACAAGTAATAGGTGTATTCCATGCTCCACGGCCGAAATGTTGCATTTTCTTTCTTCTTTTTTTCAGCATGGAATAAACCTATTACTTGTTCATAAATAAATACTGAATATACCATACATTTGGTTAATTAAATCTTAAGATATTTAATTATTAAGACTCCCCATCAGCTGTGTCTCAGGAACTATAAACTTTGTGGGGAGAGTTTCTTGCACTTTGCCCGCACAGTAACAGTATCATACACACAGAGATAAAAAACAAAACAAGACAAATAGGCTTAGTTGTCATCGATTTGTGACCGGTTTAAGGTCAGTAACGCAGATCCAGCCAGGAGGATTCCAGAAATCCAAGATGAAAACTCACTGATCATATCCAGAGAGGATGTGTGTAAAGTTTTTAAAAAGACCAATCCACACAAGGCTCCTGGCCCTGATGCTATCCCTGGCCGTGTTCTGAAGGCATGTGCAGACCAGCTGGCAGATGTCTTCTCGGACATATTCAATCTCTCTCTAGCTCAGTCTGTAGTTCCTTCTTGCTTTAAGAAAAGCACTATCACCCCTGTCCCTAAGAAACCGAGAGTCAGCTGCCTGAATGACTACCGCCCCGTTGCACTCACATCAGTTATCATGAAGTACATCACCTCCTCACTGCCTGACACCCTAGACACACTACAATTTGCGTATCGCGAGAACAGGTAAACAGAGGCTGCTATTGCCACTGCCCTCCATACTGCCTCTCACACCTGGATAAGAAAGGAACATATGTGAGAATTCTGGTTTTTGTACAGCTCAGTATTTAATACCATAGTGCCCTCAAAGCTCATCATCAAACTCCAGGACCTGGGACTGTACACCTCCCTTTGTAATTGGATCCTGGACTTCTTGACGGACCGTTCGCAGGTGGTGAGGGTGGGCACCAACATATCCTCTACCCTGACTCTAAACACTGGAGCCCCCCAAGGCTGTGTGCTTAGCCCTGTCCTCTACTCCTAATTTACCCATGATTGTGCTGCCAGGCATAATTCAAACTCCATCATTAAGTTTGCGGACGATACAACAGTCATCAGCCTGATCATAGATGGTGAAGAGTCTGA